ATGGAATTATTTGCCAAGTGTCTATAAATGCACCAAGTCGTGACATAGAATCAGAAGAAACAAGAAAAAGAAGACACGGTTTCGACAAATAACTAGAAATTATTATATTTTAATTGTTTCCAAAAAGATAAATAATATTCATATAACGATTATTTCCAGATTGCGATTATTTATTTGATGGAACTTACTCGCCGTTGAGTAATAACTTTTACTTTAATAATTATCAGGTAAGTTTACTTCAAAATTCTAATCTACGCATTATTTAGAATCGAGTAAGTAACATTCTGACAGAAACAGAAGTAAAATATTTTCTTACGTAAGCCAAATACAAGCAACAATTAATATGTAAAGACACATTGAAAAATATCCCGGAATATTGAAAACTGTATACAGTATTATGAAAACTTCAATCTCTTTACAAACACTTTAAAGGAGGAGCTCTCATGCCAGTATTTAGTTTCTTACTTACTGCGCGATATAACATATCAAGCAAAGTGTATTTCTCTAACGTCGTCAATGTGCAGTTCTTTTTTCTAGTGTCCAAGATAGAAAAGAAATAATTTAATTAGACCAGATTTAAATAGGAAAAGCTCACAAAATATTCTAGATTGGTTCGTGTATCTGTATGAAAATGAGATTTGATATAAATTAAAAGTATTTATATTGAAAAATATCAATAATTTAACAATATTGTTCTATCAGATAAATCGTGTTTAAAATATTTCGAAAGCGTGGATAACTTTTATTTTAATTGTCAAACAAATAGATTTTGACTGTTGTGCTGAATGTTTAGTGTGACAAATCAAAGACAACATACGGCCCAGAGAATAAGAGAATTTGTATCGCTTACGCTTGACCTTTATAAATTTTGCGTAGTCGAAATGTTGTTGGACATTAAGCAGCATCATTATCGATCTCCGACAACGCAGTTAATAAAGAGAACAATAATTCTTTTACGAAAAACGTTTAATTTTTATATTAATACATTCGTTGTGTTTCATGTGTTTTTTTTTAAATTAAAGTTACATTATTTAATATAAGCAATTTGTGACTTAGCTACAAACGTCAATGCTTTGGAACTATCAATTGTAGGACATTTTACAGAATGACATTTTATATTTAAAAGACTAATATACGCTACTAAACAATTTAATGTTTGTTTCAAAAACTTACTTCTCTGTGATTAACGTTAATTACTTCAAATTCTACTTACACACTGTACACATGTAAAAAACAATTTAGGTCTCGTCAAACAAAATTTTAGAAATATAAATTTTTTATCAATCACTAAAGTAGTTCATGAAGGTTTACATTATTTAAAAGTATAACCAATTTCCAGTACAATTTATCAAAAATTACACAGGTTTTACATAAATGTCATTAGGTAATAAACAAACAAATGCAATTAGCTTCATATATTTTAATAATTATTAAATCACAAAATCATTCCTGTTAAATACTTTTGTTTTAGTATATTGTGAGAAAAATAATTGTTATTAATTACAATGGAAAATAATTAGAATTTAAAAAAAAACATTCAATGTGATACTTAAAATTGTAATTATTAATCAATTTTATTCTTATTATTTCAGGATGGAATGCAAATTCCCCAATATGGGCTTGCTACTGAAGTGCCTGAATTGCATGGCTTCTGGCCAGAGCAAGAAGTGGGTGGATACGAACCACCGATTCAAATGGCCGAAAATGGGCCTTCTCAAATCCCAGAATACGGGATAGCTGCAGGAACACCGCAATATATGCCAGCGCCTGGATTCTATCAATATGGGCCAGTGCAAGAAGTGGGTGGATACGAACCACCGATTCAAATGGCCGAAAATGGGCCTTCTCAAATCCCAGAATACGGGATAGCTGCAGGAACACCGCAATATATGCCAGCGCCTGGATTCTATCAATACGGGCCAGTGCAAGATGTGGGTGGATATGCGTCGTTTATTCCATTGTTTAAAAATAGGCCTAGTTCTTAATCAAAAGAAATACAAATGACAGATGAATCAAACAATGCATCGTCGGCACAAGTGCCAACTTATAGGCCATCATCGGTAGCTTTCGAAATTGAGCCAGCAACTGAAGTGTTGGTATGTGAGCCTACCGCTGAAAGAATAGCAGAGGCACCTCTCTTCTCAGGTTCGATGGAATGTTTACCAAATCATAATAAAGGTACATATCATTGATATTATTACAGTATTAATTTGATTATAATAGAAATATTTATGTAACTTGGATATATTTTTATCCATGCAACTTGAAATTGCAGTTAGATATTTGAGTTTGTTCCTTAAACCATCTTTAACTCCGGTATTGTCTTTTAGATAAGGGAGAAAATATCTTACGTTTCACTGAGCATTAAATATTAAATATATAAAATAAAATCAACTAAAAGACAACATTTAAAACATAAGTAACAAACGAATGATAAACATCGCCAATAAGAGATTATACTAATTTTATTTTTTTTTAACTAGAAATGATCGTATACACTCAGAAATGCAAATTAAAAAATAACTATTCGTTTTTAATATATAAATTTTGATGACATTTCAGCATTATTAATCATTAAACAATTCGATATTTTGGATCATTATATTATTTATTGACATTGCTGAATACATTTATAGCGTTAAATTCAGTTTTCATAATTAAACAAATGCAAAGAATACACATTTTTCAGAGGCTATCAGATGTTGTAATTATTNTCATAATTAAACGAATGGAAACAATATACATTTTTCAAAGGCTATCAGATGTAATTATTTTTGTTAATTAAAATTATACATTATTTTCTGTTCATTTTTATTGTGATTTTGGTAGTATAAAAATATTTTTTGGTTTAATTGTTATTAGACAATAAATTGATAATTAAATAGACGTCACAGACAGAAACTTAGTTATTAATTTTTACGTTTAAATATCTATAACTCAGACGTTTCGTAATTAAGCCAAGTTGCCAACGATAAGAGCGCATTTCCATTTAAAAATAACAAAATATCTGCAATTTTTCTCGTTTTCCTTCATCAAATAATCATGATGGTGTAAGACTAAGGGAATTTATCTCGATTTTACGTCTTCACTTTTTTCTTTTATTTATATAATTCTAAATTAACAATATGAAAGCGGTAGTATTGCATTCTCTTGTTGTCTGCGAGTTTTAAAGAGTTCAATTCTTACAANATTTTACGTCTTCACTTTTTTCTTTTATTTATATAATTCTAAATTAACAATATGAAAGCGGTAGTATTGCATTCTCTTGTTGTCTGCGAGTTTTAAAGAGTTCAATTCTTACAAGATATCTATTACAGAGCTGAAGATTTGGGCTTACATTTGAAAGTAATTCGACGGAATACACACGAGTATTGTTTATTTAATTGGCGTTTGGCAGTGTTGCAAACCAAAACCAGTAATTGTTTGTTGTGACATCCTCACGAAGCCAGGCTGCAATTTTTAATTATATTTGAAATTAAATAAATTTTTAATACGCTTTCCACCTCAAATTAGTAGTGGCATGCTCCTGTATATAATAATTTTTTTAACAATAATATCATCTATCTAACTGCATTCGGGAGGAAATCTTTGAATGGAAATAACGTGACTTTCAATTTGCATCGAAAGTTCATATATAGTTATTTGGGTATGCTGTTCCGAAGGTTTTTATTTGTCGGCTTTCTTTTATATAACTCCGTTCTTGAAATTGAAAAAAGACAGACTCATAGTCTGACAGACAACAGTGAAAATTTATAAGTCGACAATTGTTTTCAAGTTGCAGTCCAATTATCCAGCATAAAGCGAGCACATTATATATATTTGATCCTGATGCTTTACCTTCAAAATTCTGTAGCGCGTTTCTTTTTAAACACACCGAATATCTATTGTGTTCTTATATTTATAAATATCTCGTTTTTGCTATAAAATTGCATTCTAAATATACATTAAAATCTTGTTATATAATATTTGAATTAACCTAGTTTAATAATTACTCTGTTTTCTTTTATACTTTAGTTTCTGGTTCTCCAAGTGATGTCGAAGACACAAGTCAAACTAACTCTTCCCACTTGGATCAGAATAATGCAGGAAATTTCACCAAACATACAAAAATTACTGAAATTATCGAACCAGAAATACTCTCGAATAGAAATCGAGAAAGAAAAATCGATGAAATTTTTGATATTTCCGATGACGAAGGATTTTCTTCTAACGTAAGCTGATAGATTATATTAATAAACTACTAAATAATCTTACATCTTTTTAAACTTTATCACCGAAAAATAAATTAGAGTAATGTATTATTGAAATAGGATGCAAGTTATTTATTTATTATTAAATAAATTTTATGCCAATTAATTAAAAAATATTTTGGTATTTGAATGTTGTTCCTAACAGAAATCAGAATCACTTTCTATTTTCCATGTTTTCATTAAATATACAATACAATTTTTAATACATTAATTTGCAATAAAATTGCTGAATATGAATTTAACATTTTTTAAGTAAATTCGAAATTTATAAATATTTATTTTTCGTTATTTTACAGAATTTCGATGAGCGTAGGAATGAAGGTTTTCATTATTTTTCGGAACAATTCACGGAAACAGTGGACGACATCTACATTCACAAACCGTTAAAATAGAATTTTATAAATTTTGAAAGATTTTCTCTTGTAAATGAAATCATTTATGAAGAAGACGAGTTTGAATACGAAAATTTATCATAAGAAGACGATGATTCCATCCATGCAGATAGCGAATTAAGAAACAGTAAACATTCCGATGATGTCGTCGATTCAGTTAACGAAATTCAACAAATGAATGTTGAAAGTAAAGTGCCGTCAATATCTTCCACGAAAGATGATATTCAGGAAGAAAACTTTGTTAATAATATGAATACGACATTCATACCTTAAAAATATTGTTGACCGAATTTTGTGTATTATATGTACAGTAACTACACAATGTGAATATGTAAATGTGTAAATTTGAAATAAGCATTTGTAGCGGTGTGACGTGAAAAAGTAATTCGAATATTGTTTTATTGAAATTTCAATTGTCTAAAACAATATTATGTCGATGTTCGTGTCACTTATGCGGACAACAACAAAAATGCAATTCACTGAATTAGCATGTGGTTTTCGACAATGCCTATTTAATATTTAAAAAAATACAGTTTATTTTTTAATGAATATTTACTACGGATGGAGTTTCATGTAATTCTTATTCAGACACCTTAAAAAAACATAATGAAGGTTTCTTCTTTTCTGATAATCCTAAAGTCTTGACAGTCTTATTTGACTCGCACAAAGCAGAAAATGGCATTTTTGTATTATTGCCAAAAGCATAATTAGGAATTAAAATATAATGATGTTATTATAATTAAATTTTATAAATAACGAAGTGTAAATTTTTTGTTTTAGTGTACGATGATAAACAGAAACAAAAGCAGGAGTTTCAAGACTTAACTAAATGCGAAAATAACATAAATGAGAATGATAGTTCTTTATCCGAAGACGAAACCATTAAAGAATACGAAAAGGTGAGAAAATATTTTCTACATTTCAGTAGTTTAGACGAATAAAACTTTTTTCTCATTTGCAAAATATATACTTTTATTTTTATTTCGACTTTTTTCTCCATGTCTGAAATTGTTAAATACTTAAATGAATTTAAAATTATATATATTTAGATTGTAAAAATTTAAATACTAAATGGCAATCACTAAATTCACTTAATTTCCTTACAAATAACATTTTCTGTCTTTCTATACCAAATTTCGGAATTCGACGCAATCGGCAGGACGATGTTTATCTGTATTTTAAAACGTCGATTAATGCCGCGTAACTCGATGCAAAAACAGCTTTACTTTGAATAATTAAGTGCAATTTACGATAGCTATGGCGATATAACACTCCTGTTACGCTCACAGTCTAGTTTAGTTAATTTAGTAAATAACAAAAGTTGTCGAAGCAGAAGTTTCCAGTAGTTATTGTTTTTAAATAGGCATTACTGTATTAATAATGGAAAATTTCCTATTGAAATTACAACTAATACCATAGTACGATTATTGCTAAGCTGTAAGAGTTTTCTACTGTATAATCTATGCACTAGATTATCTGCCTGAGTTAGGGTTTTCTTTTATTTAGAATAGTAATAATACATACGTTCGAAAAATTATAATATCGCGGATTGTGCTACATAAAAGTTAAATACACAGCATCTATAGCTGCGCTCGGGATTCTTCGGGATGTATAGTGGTATGCACACATCAAAATCAAGTGACGTCTGCATACCACTATACATATAATAAGTATATGAATGTGACTGTGTGTCTATAACTAAGCGCGTAAACTAGTTTTCTAAAGTAATTCAAAATGTTTACATTATATTTTGATATAACACAAATAGTGATTTAAAAAACTTATAAAATGCCTGCCCCACCAACCTTTTTAATCTAATTCGTAACTACCTTAAAGACAGAAAAGCTGTCCTCCAAATTGGCAACCTATCACACTATAAGAATGTCGTCCGGTGATGCCCACAGGGTTCCGTCTGCGGCCCCCTCTTATGGAACATTGCATTCAACAATTTCCTTAATTCCAATTTCGGCCAGGACTCCTTAACTGCTTATGCAGATGACGTTATGGTTCTTGTTGGTGGTACATCCCGGGCTGACCTGGAAAATAAAGCCAGTAACATTCTCCAGAAAATACATCGCTGGGGTATTCTCCACAAACTGCATTTCAACCCCCAGAAGACCAGGGGAATCGTTTTCAACAGTCCTCGCAAACCCAACTTATATAAAAGAGTTCCTACCATTAAAATTAATGGACATTCCATTAAAATACAGAAGACTTTGAAGTACCTGGGCGTCGTTCTTGACTTCCACCTATCTTGGGAGCAGCACATAAAATACATCTGCGACCGTGTTGGCCTCATCTTCCACTCCTTTGCTAGAGTGGCCAAAAACAACTGGGGCCTTAACTCCGAAGCCATGAGTGTAATATATGACACTATCTTTGTTCCCATCGTGACCTATGGCTGTGGCACTTGGGGCAATGCCGCCGTGAAATCCCATCCACGTCGGAAGCTGATCTCTGCCCAGAGGACAGCATTACTACGCATCGCTAAAGCTTACCGTACTGCTCCCAACTCCAGCCTACAAGTGATTTGTAAAAAGCCACCAATAGACCAGATAATAAAACTTTACAGCGAAGTCTGGAACATCAAATGGGGCAATAACATCACCACCAGCTCTACTACTATTCAGGCAGACATGCTCGAATGCCCGATCAACTACAGCAACTCACCTTATCCTAATGAACCTCCCAATTTCATCCATAACTTTCACTCTCCTCCTTCCATTGACATCTACACTGACGGATCAAAAATCGACAACCAGGTGGGCTGCAGCTTTGTTGTTTTCCAGAATGGAACGGAGATCTTTAACCAAAGGAACCGGTTACACGGCAGCTGCTCTGTTTTCCAATCTGAGCTGCTTGCCATCAAGACAGCCATCGATTGGTGCTCCGTGAACTTCCACAACACCAACATTGCACTACACTCTGACAGCAACTCCGCCATCTCCCTCATAAGTCACAGAAACCTTCACCCTATTGCATATGTCATCCACGAAGCTGTCAAAAACTGTAGCAAC